TACTTAAGATTCCATTGATCTTCATAGTTGAGCCCTTGTTTAGTATAGGATATGTGGTCTCTTAAGTTTACAGAACTTAGGAGTGATACCATAACGTTTACACCTTTCTTTTTTAAACTGTTGTAAGCGTTATGATATCACTCCTAAGTTCTGTGACCTTAAGAGACCCTACCACTCGGAAAAGGTTAATGAGTATCTCCACCAGGCTTCTATTCAAAAATTGACTGAGGCATATGATACTGAACGTTATAATTTGTTTAAGTTTATAAATATTAAGTCAAAGCTTCGGTGTGATTTGGCCAGGATCCTGTCTCCAGAAGATTTTTAAAAACTCCAGAACATGGATAGATTTAGAAGCCTTAAGATTGAGCTTTTGTTCAGATTTGCTTCCCCAATAATTTATGAGTGCGGATCTAGGCTGAGTGTAAGTGCTTCAATAGCCTTGAATGCGATGTTAGAATACATTGATACTACATCGAAACTAGTGAAAAGTCCCTACTCTGTTGATCTATTAATCTAAAAATCCATACGAACTATTTACTGAATATTTCCTATACTTAGGCACTTTCCTTAATTGTCTACATAATAAATGTGAAATCCTATGTATCAAAGATCCCTTATTATTAACAATCAATCTTAAAATAACCCCTTCCTTGTATATTTTTGTAAGGACGTAAGCCGAAGGTGCCCTAGCATCCCTTTGTTGAAGCTAATTCATTTTCCACTTCTCAATTTTTTCTCTGCTTTTACAAACGTTAAGCGATTCCCTAAGTCTGGCCTTAAGACTCTTTGTGGAATCATTCACTAAAGGTCTGTAAATTTCTGAGTCATTTGAAGTAACCATTAATTTTTCCATATAACTTAGCCTATCCATGATGGCCACTGCACTACCTTTATTTGCCTTCAAAACAAACAAATCATTTTGGTACAAATATCTAGAAACCTTATTCAAGTCATAAGATTTCTTTGGAATAATTACCTTATCAAAATAAGGAATCACTTTTCTTTTTATATTATTCTTAGACTCTGGCAGTTTGTCCGTTAAGCTAATTAACTCAACAAGTATCTCCATAGAATCATTTTGCTCATTTAGAGAGGCAAAGTTTGGGTCCCTTTCCAAGAAGAGCGTAATATTGGCATCCATAGGTATACTGGATAGATTACTTTATTTTTGCTGGAGCAATTGTCACTAAGTTTGACTATCTCCTTATTGTTTCGACGATTTCTTAAGCTGATGCTAATGCCTAACTTCCTTAATTTCTTATCATATGGATCTTATCTATCTTGTCCGCCAGACCGTCCGCCATATACTGTAATTTGAGAAAGTATTCTTGAGAAAACAGCAGAGAAAGGGTTTATCTAGTCCTTGTTTTGGTTCTAAAAACACTTTTACTCGAAATGGAAGTAAGCTCAACAATTTTGAAACAAGAGATTCCTCGAAACCCAACTTTTCTTCGCATATAATCTCCCGAGTCCGATCGTCTACTTGGTACATTCCCAGACGTTTCGCCGGCATCGTCAGTGGGCCCTGCCAGTCTTAGCACCCTACTATGTCTCATCAAAGAGACAAATGAAGTTCATCCCTTGACTAATTGTCTGCTAAACAGTTGTGGTATCTCTTCCGTCCTGGGGTATTTACCTATCCTATATCTTGTAACACCCCTTCACCACCACAATTTCTTACTTCCTTATCTAACCTTGGTTGAGGCGTGACCTTTTGAGCGGATTTAGTCAGACCTATTAATACTCCCCGCTGTCTCCCTAATCCCCCTACACCCACACCCACCCTCCGCCTATTGTTGATCCAAGACAGTAGTTTAGGCTGCAATCCTCTTCCTCCAGGTCCTATCAGAGTCTTCCTATTACTTTGTATGGTTGATCTCTTATCTCCCTGGTTCAGTTATTTCACTCGATTGCTGCCACCATATCAGTTCTACTCGAGGAGTTATGTTCTACATTCTGGCTTCAGTGGAGGGCGAACTAAACTTCAGTCTTGGATTAAAACTCCCAGCACAATGGATGGATAAGGGAACCAGCAGAGAGTTGAATAGGTCTCACTAAATCCGTTCAAAAGGGCGCACCTCAACTAAGTTTAGATAAGTAAGTAAAAATTGTGATAGTGAAGGAGCGATGCGAGGCCATAGGATAGATGAATACACCAGGGCAGATACCACAACCAGTTAGCATATAATTGGTCGAAGGGTCGACTTCACCTGACTCTTTGACGACTTGTTATATCGTGTTAAGATTTGTTAGACTCACTAAAGATGCCGGCGGAACGTCTGAAACTATAACAAGTTCACGTTTCGACTCTGAAAATTATCATGCATTCTATGGACTCTGGACAGGGGGCGTTCCTCTGAGTATTCCTGCAAATATGACCAAATTGTGAAATCAAGGTCAAACAACTTCTATACAATGAAAGAAAATCGTGACTCTACTAAAGGCTACACCATCTTGGTCTTCATACCTGCGCTTAGACTCTGTTTCTTGGAGCTTAGAGAAGAGCTGGTCATAATAAGATTAATATATTAGGGCGCAAAATGCTTCTGCTTGAGAGTAGTGTCATTGAGTTTATCCCTGGACTAGAGAAGAAATACATAGCTACTAGTTTGAGCTCTGCCTTCTACAAACCCGTGTGAAAATTAGCCTTGATCTCTAAAGCTTTATGCAGATATTTTCTTATCTGACCACCATCCATATTTATAGTTATCGGATCTTTTTAAAGAAAATGTCTAAATAATTTTGATTTTTCAATATACTAAGCCTGGCTTATCCTTATCATTGTATGGACGACAACCAGATGAAGACTTAATAGTAAGGTCCAAAGTTTAAATGCTCTTGTCCTATTGCATAGCAACAATTGGAAAGCAATTTTTTCAATTAATAAAAATTTATCAGAGATAAAGTGTTGTGGCATATCTTTTGTGCTTATTTTAAAAATATTATCAGGTTCAATAAACTTTAACAATAATCAGGTTTATATGCTTCTAAACTAAATATCTTTAATACGACGTTAGAATGCCATATATCCTGATATCCAAATTGGTTTTTATAAATACTCATCTTTGTTCGATAATTTCTATACCTTCAGCTTTGGCAAGCTGATACGATTCAGCATACGAGTGGCGCCAATGACTCCTCCATTCAAATGGTCGATTCCCTCACTCGCACATCATCTCCTCGACTGAATTTCGAGTCGTGGATATCTGGTTCTGGACTAGAGCCCTTAACCTTCTCTGCATCTGAATGTCTCGATCGAACGCATCAGTACTCGCTAACCCAACCTCCCACTCAATCCTCTGCCTCTCCATTACTGTCGCAATCTAACTCACAAACTATTGGTTGCTTCGCTCGCCAGATCTTGGCAGATGGGGCTCACCGTATTTACCTTGGCCGGCGATCGAAAACGCGTGTGACCCAATTGCGACCAGGCCGTGTTTATGCATTTTGCGTTCGTTCCCGCAATGCAGCTTGTCCTGCTTGGGGCAGCTTCTCCAGCTGGCGCCTCATCGCCACATCAGCCAGTTGTCCTGACGCTCCGCTGGCTGCTCCCAGAGTGGAGCCACGTCATGCCATAGGAGCAAGTGGAACGGTGACAGCCACAGAAGCAGCTACTATCAGTGTTCATGTGGCCTGGGACCCTGTTGACCAAGTAAATGGGGCCCCGGTTCTTGAATACCGTCTCGAATGGCAACAGACAACTAATTCCACAGACTTTCTTGATCTCAAGGAAGCCACCGAAAAGCTTAGAGATGGCTTTCAAATGGTGAGCATTATGCATATCTGTTTTCATGTTTTGAGTTAGAATTCTTTAACTTCTATATGCTAACAGCTGCGTTATATTGTTGTAATGTGAGTAGCAGAATATTTCCGATTTTATTTATTTAAGACTATTCACTCAGGTGTCTTTCCATGTTTTAAGCCTTGTGATTTTCCTTTGCTATTTGGTTAAAAAAGAGAAAATATCAGGCCAAATTTAGTGGACTTTTGGTAGATGCCTTACACTATGCAGGAAGACAAGCTCGTATATCTATGAAATATATTCACTCTATTTCTTTTGAAATGATAAGAGGACTGGTATTTGAATTTTCCAAAATGATATGAGTAGACCTTATGTCTCCATTGATTTCCATATAGCTTTGCTATCTTG